GGCCACGGCGGGGTATTCACCACCTTCCCGCGGCGTCTCCCAGCAAATCCCGGTTCCTCGCCCGGGGATTAACGACACGGAAACGATTCCGGGAGGGGGTGGCGGAGAAGGTAACCGGAGGGCGAGGAGGAGGAGGGGAAGGAGGAAGAGTCAGGGGGGAGGGAAGCCGCTTCCCGGGCCGGATTGGTCAGAAATTGCTGCAGCCTGGGCGGGCGGTGCCTGGGGCCGCCGTCCTCGGCCTGAGCCGGTTTAAGGGGCTGGGGAATGCCCCACACCGATCGAGAACACGCCCCCCCCCCCACACACACACCCCCACCCCCCCCCGCGGTTCCGTTACCCAGCTGTGCCGTAGCAATACTAGGGAGACTCTCAGCAGATGCGAAGAGAAAGTCCCGCTAGGACTTGGCTATGGGTTACAGCAATCTGATTTCTCTCTTAATAGTGGATACACTCGGAGCAGTTATTGTTACCTGCAAATGGAGGTTTCTGCAGCTTTAGTGCAATTGAGCTTTCAGATTGCCATTCAAATTGCCTGAATGTCAGCATCAGCACCTCTGAAACTGTGCGGAGACGTGAGTTTTTCATGGTTAATCAAATCTATCTGAGAGAAATAAACAATATCATCAATAACTTTTTTAAAAAATGTCATCTGGTGTCTGATCAGGTCTGTTTTCAAATGAATATGAGAAGTAAATTACTGGTGATATTCAAAAGGTTGTACACGTTACACCAGATTTATAACTTTAACATATTTTGGTTTACTGTGTATGGTGCAGAAGAGTACTAAAGGAACTAAAAATTTGAGTGAAGGGATTTGAGAGTAATTTATGAAAAGACCTATAAATATTTAACCTTTGCTTAGACTGTGTCACATAAATGTTCAAATAAGTTTTACAAAGAGCAGCCCAGAGTCTCATGGAGATATCTTTGGTAGCAGGCAATTAATTCCACTCACTTTTTTTAGCCTAGGCAAATACTCTAACTTGCCTACATTTTTGGTAAATATATTGGCCTAAAGCAACTTCTCCTGAAAGGCAAGAGGGAAAAAACAAACAAACAAAAAAACCCAACAAAACATTAAAATCATACCTTTCTCTAAGACTGTGGAAGATTGCTTAGTACAAAAGGAGTTCAAGGAATGTTTTTGTCCTGTCCACAGTGAGGTCATTAGAGAGCAATCAAGCATAGTGTTTTCCAAGAAAACCATGAATAAGACTTTGAAGGTTAAGAATACTCAAGGACTTTTTATGTACAATACTGTCACTATGGCGAAGTCAACCAAAAAGTCAATGCTCTTTTACTACTTCATTTTTCAGTTGTTGTCTCTATACTTGGGAATATTTCTGCAACTGAGCATGATTTCTTTTTTAATATGGTCTTGAATATTATCTTCTACTGTTTTATGGAAAATCAGAGAGCTATTAAATAACTACAGGTCGAATAACATTATTTGGGAACAAGCTGAGCGACTGCACTACCTATGCTATAGCTAGTATTTTAAAGCATAAGGATATTTTTGACTTTTAAGTCCACACAAAATATAAGTTAGGCCATCTATGACACTAAATGTTTTTTCATGACCACCAGTATCTGTGATACACTGTTCTTAAATCTAAAGCCATCATACTTTATAAGGATTTAGGCTGTCTGAATAGTCAGAAAGAAATTTGGGAAGTGATTCAGATTAGTCAGAAATTCTGCATATGCAATGAAATAAAATACTTGAGAGTTAAAAAATTTTCCTTCAAAAGCACATCTGTCACATAATTAAACAGGTGATACACTCAATCTTTCTCCTGTTTTAACATACACAAAACTTCTATTCAACTACAGCATGCAGACAGAAGATATGTTCATTTATAGTAAGCATAGTTACCTGAAGTAGAATATATTGCCTTTCTACATTATATGTGAATGGTTGGTCAGGAGAAACAAGGATATGCGGTAATTGTAGGAAAATATTCCAGTCATTTTACCTGAGAGAGAAAAAAAAAAAAAAAAAAAGAGGATTTGGTATGCAGAACTCAGTTTTCCTGTACTAATAAAAACATGCTAAAAACCATAGTGAAAATACTGTTGGTGGCATAGAAAACAGAACATTGTCATAAACTGCTATATAGGGAAACAGAGCTCATGACATGCACATCTCAAGGGGAGACATGGCTAGAAAGTCAGAGAACAAAATGCTAAGTTTAATGAATTGCCATTACAGAGAGTAACTACTTTATAGTGAATAAGATAACAAAAATCCCCATACTTTAGATTACATTTCAATCTACCCATACCTCAATTTTAAAATAAATTGTTAGAATACTTCTGTTTTCAAGTGATTTTTCAAATGTCAGTGGAGAAAAACTCCTCCTTCCCTAATTTCCAAGAACAGAACAGATACTTCCTTCTCAGACACTTCACTGTGAGCACTGCTCTTCAGAGAGAAACACTCGGCTCCCCACACCGTGTTTTCATGAGCAAAAATTAAAGTCAGGAATGTAGCCTTCTAGCCCATACAAATGTTTCTCACCAAGCACAAGGACCACTATTCACTGGCATAACAGTGTAAGCCGGATATTTAGGGGTTCTGTTGTGTAAACCTGATAGGATCCAGGCCTTGGTAACAACTTCATTGTTGAAGAGGAGATAAAAGATTGATAAGAGATGGGCACCCTCCCCAGTTGGCACCATAGGTCAGATGTTTGCCCAAGCATGAAGTCAGCAAAAATCCCCCCCACCTGTAAGGAGCATGTGTGCTGATTTACACTTTAAGCAGGCAAATTCAATTGTAACTAACCAATAACAGATGGAATGGTAATTACAGACCAATTAATATAAACATAGATAGGTTTTTAGTAATCATGTAATAGGATAAACAGGCTGTAGTTCCTTTGTGTGGTGTGCTATCTTTGCGGAATTACACCAAACACCCTTCTCTGTGCAACTATGGAATAAACTGGTTTCTCAGCTCTGTGTGTCAAACTGGCTTTTGCACATGAGGTAACGAAACCTGTTTGAGAGACAACAGGAGGACTGTTTCAAAACATAGGATTTTCAAATGGACTAGTCAGAACATTCTATAAATCAGTCCTCTGCTTCAGACCCATGCAATCTCTTCCCCCCCCATACTAAATATCCACTAGTATGTTATTTTGCTTAATATACTACATACAAGAATCTGAGGTTAAAGAAAAAATAATCTTCAAGTGTTTTAAACCAAATTCTAGCCTCAGATTTCAGTATGGCTACTAATAACATCCTGCAGTTACTAGCGTTTCAAAGTCCAACTCTGAATGAGTAGACGATTAATACCTAATGCAAGTTCTTTCAACAAGACGGGGCTGATAAAAAAAGAGAAAAAATAAAGCCCTCTGCCTATTTCGTGGAAGAAAAAAAAACGCTAAACCCCCAAAATATCCAACAAAACCAACTTGAAAAGTGTGTAAGAAGTATCCTTTAAAACTAGACTCGTGATTGTCTTCTTGTTTCCAAGCAACGCTTCAGCCAAGCACTCTCCTGTTAACTCCCTCTGCCTGAAAAACATTTTCGATTAACACATTGAAACAGTGACTCACTCCTCTGCCTCCTGAGGCAGGACACTGCATGAAGCACCCTTTTTCTTCTCCTTAGCTCCCAAGAGGAACTTTAAAAGAACAAAGAAAACACCACCCCACCCCACCCCCCGAGCCCTCAGGCAGCATCACTGGTGGTGCATTCCTGGCTCCCCTTCGGGCAGCTTTGCTTTCTTCCTTATAAAACACTACTGAATGAAAAAGAGAGATAAAACACGCTTTAACTTATCTGCCTTAAAAAAAAAAAAAAAAAAAAAAAAAAAAAAGGCAGGAATGCTCTGTCCCCTACAGTGGAAAACAAAATAATAATCTTTTCAGAGGAAATAGAGTGGGGAAAGGAACCTTCCCTATCATCCAGCAGAACGGAGTCCCTGAGGAACCAATGGCCCAATCTTCTCCATATAAACACCAGCCTCTTGCTGATTATCTTTCTTTATATCCCCCTGATACCCCACTTCCACCCTTTCTGAAAGCTGGCTCTGATCATGCCCCAGTCTCCCCGCTGCTCCGGCCTTCAGCTTCTTGGCATCGGGCAGCTCCAAAGCCCACAGGCCCGGCGTTACCCAGCCGATCACTGAGGCTGTCACCCACCATGGAGCTCATGCAGGCCAGGGCAGCTGCAAAGAGCCCCAAGAAGACAGTACTAAAGAGTGTGGCCAAACCCAAGGCAGCGGCACCCAGGAGGTGATACTGTGAGGAAAGAATTGTAGAAAAAACCCAATGGTGCCTTTACATATAAATGCCACGTCTGCTGCCAGAATGAAAAAGATGATTCCCTACTGCATTTATACGTGACTTTCCGTAATGCTTCTGTATGAACTCACAGACTATGGTAATGTACACTTGAGCCTATTTCGTTTTAACTTGTGGGCCTCCCATATTAATTCCACAACCAGACCCCCATCTTCTCAAATTCATTGACTCTACCCTTTGGAAATCATACTGGTTTAGTTACAGGACAACAGGGAAAAGATGTGAACTTTCTCGCTGTTGCCTGAAAGCTGTAAATTGCAACCAAACAAGAAACTCCTAAGGAAAAAAAAAAAAAAAAAAGCAGCTGCTACGCACAAGGACCTGGGACTCCTTTTCCACTCGTGGCAACGGCGGGAGGAGAGCGCGCCGCGCCCCACCCCCGGTTTGAAAACCGCGCGCTCGCCTCTGGTTGGCCGGTGGCGGCCACGCCCCCTCCCGGTCATGCAGGCCTCGCCCCCTCCCCCCGCCCGCCTCCGCCGGGGGTAGCGACGCTTCCTCCCACGGGAAGCGGGGAGAGGGAAGCACCGAGCCCACCCTCGCCGTGTTCTCCTCTCCTTACAGCACACTGCGGTGACTAATCTCAAATTTAACGGCTTCGTTTTTTTTTTTTCCCCTTAGAAAAGTGAAACTGAGAACGCTTACATAAGTACAGGAAGTTTTTAGACAAAGAGAAATAGAGACCGATTGCAATTATCGAAACAAAGTTGAAGATTTATATAGAAAAATACCGATTCAAAGCCTTCCCTCTACACTTAAAAACCTTCTGAGTGCATCTAAATATACAGTTTCGGAAAAGCACATATTTATAGGCTGTGAGTATTCATGCTCTTTCAGAGAAAAAGTGGGTGGCTCTGAAAAGAGCCTTTGGGTTGTCCGTTGGAAAGAACTTTACTTTGCTTTCGCCTTGTGGCTGTCGGTCTTCTTGGGCAGCAGCACGGCCTGGATGTTGGGCAGCACCCCGCCCTGCGCGATGGTCACCTTGCCCAGCAGCTTGTTGAGCTCCTCGTCGTTGCGGATGGCCAGCTGCAGGTGCCGGGGGATGATGCGCGTCTTCTTGTTGTCGCGGGCCGCGTTGCCCGCCAGCTCCAGGATCTCGGCCGTCAGGTACTCCAGCACGGCCGCCAGGTACACCGGCGCGCCGGCGCCCACCCGCTCCGCGTAGTTCCCTTTCCGAAGCAGCCGGTGGACGCGGCCCACGGGGAACTGCAGCCCGGCCCGCGACGAGCGCGACTTCGCCTTGGCCCGCGCCTTCCCGCCCTGCTTCCCGCGGCCGGACATTTCACAATTTAGGATTGAGAAAGAAAAAAAAAAAAAAAAAAAAAGTCAAAGAAAACAAAAACCTGCGTAACAGATATAAAATAAGCTGTGAAAATGGAAGAAATGCGGTGAGAGGTGCCACCCTGCCTTTTTATCCCTTCCTGCTGGGGTTCGGTGGGATTTCTGATTGGCGGAGGCTGCGACTGTGGAGTTAACCAATAGGAAGAGAGATGGAATAACAACCAATCGGAGGTGCTAGCTGGGTTGACATCACGAACCCAGATTGTCCAATACGCAAGAACGGCCTTGAGTCATCTAATTTGCATACCACCCCTATAAATACGGGCGTCGCCGCTATTGTATTTGCGTCGTTCCTGCGGTAGACAGGTAGTGACAGACTTGAAAAATGCCGGAACCAGCTAAATCGGCTCCTGCTCCGAAGAAGGGCTCCAAGAAAGCCGTCACCAAGACACAGAAGAAGGGTGACAAGAAACGTAGAAAGACCAGGAAGGAGAGCTACTCGATCTACGTGTACAAGGTGCTGAAGCAGGTGCACCCCGACACGGGCATCTCGTCCAAGGCCATGGGCATCATGAACTCCTTCGTCAACGACATCTTCGAGCGCATCGCCGGCGAGGCCTCGCGCCTGGCGCACTACAACAAGCGCTCCACCATCACGTCGCGGGAGATCCAGACGGCCGTGCGGCTCCTGCTGCCCGGCGAGCTGGCCAAGCACGCCGTCTCCGAGGGCACCAAGGCCGTCACCAAGTACACGAGCTCCAAGTAAATCTCCTGTTCGAAAGATCGTCTAAACCAAAGGCTCTTTTAAGAGCCACCCATATTTTCAGTAAAAGAGTCGTTCACACTGGTTCGGTTGGGTGAGTGGTACTTCTATTTAGCGCTGGTTTAGTTCCCAGGCTAGGACATAGGTTTAATAGAGAAAAGGTTTGTCATGTTGCAAATACCGGGGATGATTTGGGTCGCTTCTCTGCCCCACCCCGACTGTTTTTCCTGTAAGTCGTTAAATGGGGCGTTAACCACATAACCGAGTTCTTAAAGTTTTTCTTTGTAAGAGTAATTAAGGTTTTAGGTACTGAGAAATATGTACGGTAGTGATTAAGGTGTGTGTGGTGGGGTTTTTTTGTCTGTCGTTCCCTTATGAAATATGTTTGTTTGGTTATTTTTATGACAGTATTTTTCCATTGCAATATATATATTCCCTAATAAAATGTAATCGTCCCCTCTAAACATTTGCTGTCATTCTCAAAATGACTTGGCCGCAAGCCAGAGCAGCTTGTTTACTCAGTGAGCTCCACAGGGATTAGCCTGTGTATGCGTGATATTTGGAAGACATCGTTTCATGAAATCTATCAGGCCCTGCACAGTGGGAGTGAAATCCTATAGAAAACAGAGTAATTTTGTTAGTCCTAGAGATTTGATGTGGAAGTGGCGTAGGTTAGGATTTTTTTTTTTTTTTACTCGTCATTGACGGAGAACAAGCGCAGCAGAATTAAGAGGCTCCTCATAGATCCTAAGTGATAATGTAATAGGAAAATAGAAGTAAAAAATAACAGACGCTTTAAAAAAAAAAAAAAAAAAAAAAAAAAACAAAAAGCGAGGGAGGGCGCTTTATCGAACTTCAGGAGGTGCAGGAAAGGCTGTTTTTCCGAAAAACCATTTTGCCAGCGAGTTGAAATCCTGGCTGCCCGGGGCAGAATCGGCGGTAACAGCGCCTGCGACGCGGCAACAGTGGAAATTCCGCGCCGGCTGGTGGCTCCGCGCCGTGTCAGAGCGCCCGGAGCCCGGGGGGGGACAGAGCGGGGGGGACGGGAGCAGCGAGGGGGGGCGGGGGACGTGAGGGGGGAGGGGTGTGTGCTCTGCGCGCGGGCAGCGGCCGTTACCCCGCCCCCGCCGCGCGGCGGGCTTTTCAAATCCTTCCCACTGCCCAATTGAATTTGAGCCTTCCCGCTAGCCAATCACAGGGCGGAGATGGCTATAAATGGAGGGGTCCCGCGGCTTCACTCCCCACAGACCCTCTCCACTCGGTTCTAGGCAGCTCCTCCGGGGAACATGGCGCGCACGAAGCAGACGGCGCGGAAGTCGACGGGCGGGAAGGCGCCCCGCAAGCAGCTGGCCACCAAGGCGGCCCGCAAGAGCGCGCCGGCCACGGGCGGCGTGAAGAAGCCGCACCGGTACCGGCCCGGCACGGTGGCGCTGCGCGAGATCCGGCGCTACCAGAAGTCGACGGAGCTGCTGATCCGCAAGCTGCCCTTCCAGCGCCTGGTGCGCGAGATCGCGCAGGACTTCAAGACCGACCTGCGCTTCCAGAGCTCGGCCGTGATGGCGCTGCAGGAGGCGAGCGAGGCCTACCTGGTGGGGCTCTTCGAGGACACCAACCTGTGCGCCATCCACGCCAAGCGCGTCACCATCATGCCCAAGGACATCCAGCTGGCCCGACGCATCCGCGGCGAGCGTGCCTGAGCCTCTAGCAAACGGATCTTTTAAGACTTGTCGAAAACCCAAAGGCTCTTTTAAGAGCCACCACCTGGCCACTAAAGAGAGCTGTAAACTCTTAGCGCTGTGTAGGAAGTGGTGTGCTGCCCTGTGCTTGTGGGGTAGCTTTAACAGTCACCAAGACTCCGTACCTCAAGTAAGTACCAAGCAAGGCGTGCAAGTCACGTTTCAAAGGGATTGAAAAGCATCTTGACCGTAGCAAAACACTGGTCTGGTTAATTCCTGTTCTTTCTCATACAGATTTACGCTTAAATTGATAATTCTATACATTTTTTGGTTTTGGTTTTTTTTTTTTTTTTTTTTTTTTTTTCCCACATGGCTTTTTCTTTAGCTTTTAAGGAAACAGCCAACCGTGGGGCCATATCGGAAGGCACAAGGTGTCCTCTCCTGCCCTTCAAGGAAAGACGCGCGGTCGATGGTTTCCTCGGTGTTTTTGCCATTCGTGGGCTGACTGCCTGTCGTGAGCGACGTCCCACGGGCGTCCTCAGCCCTTTTTTCAGCAGCTCTAGTTTATTCCTTACATAAACTTTTTTATTTCCTGAGAGTGCTGGGGGTAGGGCCGAGGCAAGGGTAATTTCTGTGAATCCCGTTTTCAAAAGATGTGTGCTTTTTGCTGGTGTTTTCTCTGGGACACACTCGTGGTATCCTTCATTCTTCTGCGTACCCTGTGTGAATGATTAGAGGCGCTTATTTGGATCAGTTTTTTCCATCTTTGTTTAGGCTCCCGAAGCTATGCTGAATCAAGCACAGAGGAAGAGTTTTCCAAGGTGTATTAGCGATTAAAGACTTGACATCGAGTCCAGAACTATTGTTAACTGGAGACTCTTCCCTCTTCCTCTTTTTATTTTTCCCCTGAACCTACCTAGGAAACGGGGTCTCTCCCTAAGCTCAGCTGTACAACCCCTTACCCTCCTACTCAACAGAACTGTAATTGCTGCCTGAAAAATGTAGATTTCCAAAACCCTTCTGACTTTCCGTCGCCTTTTTTTTTTTTTTTTTTTTTTTTTTTATACTGCAGGCTGTTTCATGTAATTTGGGGAGCTTGCTGTTACGCTGAGATATTGGAAATAATGTCTTTATGTTTTTTCACTGCTACAAATGACTCTCTGTCCCTTTAAGAAGCGGTTGGATTGAGCTGAACGCAGCCTTCGTTTAAACTCAGAAGCGAGGACCCAGGGAGAATTGCTTAGAGGAAATATTTCGGTTGGAAAGCCTAAAACTGCAAGACTTGTTTTTCTGTTACGTGCTGATATGCTTCATCTTGGGAAATCTTCCGTTCTCTGTATCAGGAACTTGGACTCTGCAGCAAAATCTGACCAATCAAGTGCCTCCACACACCATTTTCTTTCCCTTGTTTTTCTCACTTTCAGCCATTTTCTGTTACTTAACCTCGGAGGGTTAGAAGGGAGGGGGGGGAAGGTATCGGGAATAGTACGTTGGGAATGTATAGCCTGTGATTTCTTCCCTACCCGCCCCCACTTGTTAGTTGATAGAGGATTTGTGTTTTTCAGAACAGATTTTTTTTTTTTTCTGTAGAGGATTACCAGTGTGATTGCAGAAATTACTCTTGATGAAAGCAAACTCATTTGTTACTCTCTGTAATAGCAAGAGATCTATTTATTTATCTAAACCTTTTTACATATATTTGATAAAATTCTTAATACTTACAATAGCTATTTGTAATGCTTCATATATTGGATATTAAATACCTTATATAAGCCAACAGTCGGAATACTTACATTTCAGCTGAAGTTTGGATCAAAAATTATGCTTTTTCTTCATGTTCAAGACATAAATGGTTTTTGAGGAGTGAGAGAGGGAAATAGGTTTTATTTGCCTTTGTCTCTATTTTTTTTCTCTATTTTTTTTGACGACCTTGGACTGTTTCAATAAATATGGTATTATTTGAACTGCTTTGGAAAGTTGCATTCTTGAATTCTAAAAAACACAATCAGCTGGGAAGGAAACAGATATGCAAGGTTTTCTGCAGGAAGGGTGAGCTCATATGAACCCTCATATGCAGCAGTTTTGAGGTGCAATACATTATGAAAAAGGACACTAATAATCTATAATAGTTTTTCCTAGTGGATCAGGATAGCAATTAGGAAGAATATCTTGTGTGGATTTTGAAGTATGTAACCACTGCAGATAGTTGTAGTAGAGATATGGGGAACAGTGATAGACTGAGTTGTAGCTTATACAGTGGCCTTTGTTCTTCCTTCCTTACAGAAGTGATGTATACTATCTGGAATCCTATTGTATATGGTGTTGAATCACTTAACTATAAAAGAGCAACAACAAAATTCCCAAATCAGATATAGGCTGGGGGGGGGGGAAAAATCCTTTCACAAGATATGAATAAGTACTGATATCAAGAGTATTTAATCAATTTGGATTTTTTGAGCAAAGATAAAATACTTAAGGAATTGAAAGACATCTTGCACTTGCTATAAAATTCAGAGAAAAATGGATTATCAGTTAAATCTGATAAAGAGTAGATCCTGGAAGGTATTTGCTAAAACATCTATGATTGAGAAATAAAGCTTATTTTGCCACACATTTTATTTGATGTAACATTTAGTTGATGGCACACAAAGGTGACTGCAAGATTTCCTGACTCTAAAAGCTGGAGGTTCCTCTGGCACCACCAAGGTACACCAGCATTTTTGTTCCTTTTTGCAGGATATCCTGAGCAAATGAATGTTGTTAGGAAGAAAGATGATGGCTCTGAACAAGATCAATGTGCTGAATCAGCCCTACCTGATACTTACTAGTGTCTGAAAAACTCTGAACAGGTATATTCATAGGAAAGAGATGAGGTTTTAATTTGATTTAAGTATTGCAATGTAAAAACTTTGTAAAGGTGATATGGTGGTTTACATGCAAGCCAGCCTGTAAAGCTAAATCCTAAACATCCTATCACATTCTTTTCACTTGCATATCCCTCTTCAGGGCTGCTGCACAAGTGAATCAGTTGTTGGTTACAATTTTTAGTAATCACAAATAGTGAAGAGTGAAGTCTGAGCTCAGCCAGCCTCAGCTCTCCTACCAGCCTGGGCAGTACTGCCTTGCTGCATCCTTTCCTCTTCACTCCTTCTTTCAAGTCATGTTGTTTCTTCAGCTAGGTATAAGCATCTTTCAGATTGTTGATGTACAAACATTGTTGTCACAGCAGTATGAACATTTGCTAAGTTTTCATATTATATATATAGGTGAGCTTTAAGAAGTACTTTTTGTCAGCTGCTATTACAGATTTATGTACTCTGGCCACCATAACAGGGTCTAACCCTGGGATCCTCCTGGTTAATGTAAGGTCTGAATGAAGGTTTTCAATTCCTCTTTTAGTTCTTGGGTTACAGTTTGTGCTGTCTGCCTTTAGAGAGGGACCCCTACACCATCCTGTGCCCTTCGATTACACCCATAACACCCAACACTCAATTCCCCAAGACTGATCACTTAATTCTGGTCTGTAGTCATTTGGTTTCTTACTGTTTTTCACTGCTGCTGGGCTGGCCTCTTTCTGAAATGACCCTGTTCTCTTGGAATTGTTTCCTTGGTCCTTATCTTTTTTTCATGCAATTCATATTTGCCAGATTCAGCTAGTTCTGTGTTAGCAGCATTCATTTTATCAAGGTTCAATCTTGGTCAGCTCTTGCAGCCTAAGGCTTCAACTGCTTTAGCTACTATCACTAAGTGAGACTATTCAGAGAGAAGAATACAGTGAATCAAATTTCTTCTATAATGCTATGAAGCAATAGTCAAATAAGAAGCTTTCCCCAGCAAAGCTGTTACTGGAGTAAAAATGACTAGTAATAAAAAAGCAACTCAGGGAATATAATATAAAAAACAATTCAAACCAAATTTAATTAAAAACAGCTGATAGGTGAAAACTGTAAACTCGGTTTGATACTTTGAGACAAACTCTTCTCACTATATGTAAAATGGTAGTGTCCTAGTGTTCTGTATATTCTAAAAGATGCATTGCCCTAGTTCTAAAATTGGGTTCAACAATCATTTATACTAATTTTTAAAAAGTTAGGAAAAACATAATGCAGTATAGAACAGAAAGAATTATAACATCTACTCTTGTTAGCAGGTGACGTACTTTGTACTGTGAAAGTCCAGGAGGGGAGACATTTCTAGTTTCCTTAGTCTCCTTTATCCAGGGTCAGTTATTGTTTATACAACAGCACTGGCTAAATCCCTAAGCATCGAGGTTGCAGTCTGTGAAACTCTCACCTCCCACTACAGGAGTGTCCTCATGTTCTAGGTGACAGCACAGAACTGCAGTGCGCAGCAGTGTTACAAGGGACAGGCTCCTGACTTTTGGTGAACTTTTCACTATTCAGTAACTGCTAAACTCTGAAACCTTCAACTCTTTCAGAGTGTGGTGGCCTTTATGACGCTAAGTACTCATATGAGAGGGGGGAAAAAAATAATCATAATTGTCCAAAATGTGAAAAAAACACATATTCCCAAAGCTCTGGAAAGAGGTAGTATATGTAAGCACCAGAAAGAAGAGCAGGAGAATAGCTGTAAGTATTGAGGTTGTCAATTGCACCTATATAGTAGGTAATCAAGATCCCAAAATATCTACCTGCAGGTTGTCTGAGACACACAGGATGGGAAAACAATGCAGAACATAAAACAAGGGACAGTATAAACTAGAGCAATTCAGAGAAGGTTAGAGGAAGATAACAATCAGTCCTGGACCATTAAGGCATTCAGATATGGAGACAACAGTTGGTGAGTAATTTCTAATGGTCACAACAGTGTTAGTGGCTGGAGAGACAATAGAATTGCTGTTAGCTTCTAAACTGCACGAGAGGCCATTCAAAGACAGCACCTCCCCCTCCCTGAAGACCTGCTGAAGGCTTAATAACAGGCATTCCTTGTCCTGCTTGTTCCTGCGAGAAATACTGGCCTGTCCACTTGCAGACTTGGTCTTTTGAGTGTGTGTATTAGGATGTGAGTGAAACCAGTTTTGGTTAAAATAAATATGTTTTCCCTTCCTTGTAAGTTCTTGCACTGAGATTTGCTGTAGCACATCAGTGTTTAGATGTCGTGGGTTTTTTTCTTCTCTCTCTCTTTTTTTTTTTTTTTTTTTTTTTTTTTTGTGTGTCAGGGATTATCTAGTTTACAGGCAGTGGTAATATATGGCTTCAGTTCCAGAACTAACTCCCTGTCTTGCAGACTGTTTTAGTCCCAGGCACCGTGACAAGATGCTAGCGCAAGACTGGGTAGAAAATGTTATTGGGTTTGATCACTCCATCTTTATTTATCAGCAAAGACTGTGCTATGCTGCACTGTGTCATCTGTTCTGATACAGATGTGGAGATTAAATATAGTCAAGATATTTAAAAAGATGCTAAAATCTTCTGTGTATCCTTCTTGCTCTCTCTAGCCCTTACCCTGACCCACCACTATGTATTTCTGAAGACCTTTCAATAATTCCTTGCACGCCTGTCCCATATCATGAATATTTGAGACAGTTATGAGCATTCCTCTTCTCTGTGCACACCTCTGACACATTAGTATGGACCAATAAAGCTATATAAAATTCTGGCCTGTAACAGCTTCAATCTGTGAAGCCACTAGTGAGGAAGAAATTATCTGTTGTGGTTTAGGCCTGGTTGGCAGCCAACCACAACGCAGCAGCTCTCTCTCCCTTCCCCTCCGGCAATGAGAAGGGACAGAGAGCCAGGCTTGGGGTTCGAGATAGGACTGGGATGGGGAAAAATTCCCCTTTATGATCACAGGCAAAAGGCAGACTCGTTAGGGGAAGAAAAAAAAGAACATACATTTATTACAGACACTAACAACACATAACAGAGTAGGACAGTGAGAAGCATTGCCACATCTTGAGAACACCTTCCCCCCACCCCTCCCTTCTTCCCGGGCTCAGCTGTGCTCCCGATATCTCTACCTCCTCCCCTAGTGGCGCAGGGGCAGGGAATGGGGGGTGCAGTCAGCGCTGCCATTTCCCTTATCTTCGGTGAGGGGAGTGTCTGGAACTTGTTCCTCCTGCTCCATCGTGGTTCCCCTCTCACAGGAGACAGTCCTCCACAAACTTTCTCTGACTTGAATTCCTCCCATGGGCCGCAGCGTTCCCCACACTGCTCCATCATGGGTCACTAACTTTCTCTGACTGGATTCTCTCCCATGGCTGCAGCCCTTCCCGAGCTGCTCCGGCGTGGGACTCCCCCGCATGCTGCAATCCTCCCAGCACTGAATTACAGCAGCGGGGCTACCTTTTCCCACGAGACCCCGGCCTTCTTCGGGCACAGAACCTTGATCACCAAGCAGGAGCCACAGGCCATAAATCAATGTCTGCTTCACCGTAGATCTTCATGGGTGGCAGGGGGGGCCGCCCTGCCGTCTCCCCACAGGATACAGGGGGGTCTCTGCTCCGGCACACCTCCCCCCTCCTTTCTTCCTCCATTCCTCCACTGACCTTGGTGTTCACGCAGCTGCAGCAACTCCTCCTCACAAGTCCGCCTGCCCGTCACCACGTCCCTTCTTAAATACGTTATTGCAGAGGTGCAGCTGATTGGCTCAATTTCCCAAACAGAAGTGGAGCTGACGTGGAGCTGGGGGAGCTTCGAGAAGCTTCTCACAGGGGGCCGCCCCGATAGCCCCCTCCCCTGCCACCAAAAAACTCCACCACTCACTCAACCCAGGACATTATCTCATGTATCCTCTGGAACAATTTTCAATAAATGTTCAGTATGGTCTCATGGATTTTAGCACAATGTTGTACATGTGGATGCAGAACTTATTGCATGGTTTAAGAAGCATGATGGAAGAGGGAAGAAGGATAGTTTCTGGGACACAGCCTTTCAGGAACAGCCAAAAATCAAACGCAAAACTTTCTGTGTGTTTCAGATGCCAATTCAATGAGCCAAGATCTGAACATTTTTGGAATTAATTCAGACTACTGGTAGTCAATGAAAAGCAGATAAGATCCCCACCATGCCAATGCAGTAATAAGTAGCATTTGAGAATTTCTCTATGCTTTGCTGCAGTCAAGCAGCTCATTGTCAAAATCACTGTCACACTGACATTAAAGGACTTCTAAACAATGAACCATGCTAGCTACAATTCATGTTAGTTTTACAGTGAAATAAAGCATTCAGATTGTTTTGGTTTTGTTTGTGCTTTTTTGTAAGGGTTTTTTTTGTTGTTGTTTTTTTTGTTGTTTTTTTTTTTTTTTTTTCCCTCCTCCATTCTCCTAAATGAATAATGGTTCTGGCGGTTGAAATTGAATGTTGTTTTCCTTAGTTGTGCCAGTTTTGATCTTCACATCAGTTCTCCCAATCAGGGTCACCTGACAGACATTTAATTCTGTTTTGTTTTTAGGGAAAAGAAACATGTCCATTAAAAAAATGAAGCACATTTACATGGATAGAGACTTGTCCACTTCCAGAAGTGATGATTCTAAAAGTCTGAGAGGTAACTGTACAGACACCAAAGAAAATGTGGGAGTTGCCAATATTTGGTGTGCTCCAGCTACATTGGTCATCTCAGTTGAGGCCATTATAGCACAAAAGCTTCACCAGACCAAATGTGTCACCCCACCTCTGCATCCGATGCTTGAAAACTAACAATGTCAACAGCGTTGCCAGCCCAGTTCATGCTGTTTCACTGATGTTTTAGGCAGGTGAGTGCAGAGTTGGAGTTCACTTTGCAGCAGCATGAGTGCAGTCTACACAGAAATAAAGTGAACAGCCAGTCTAATGTGAAGATGTCAATATTGATTACGTGCTATGAGGACTGAATAGCAATTGTGTGGATGTGTGTATGCAGTTTTTATACATTTTCAGATATTTGTAACCTCTGGGATCTTTAGACTTAGTCCAAATAGGAAGTTCTCAATTTATCTCTGTAAATTTTATCTGGCTTGACGGTCCTGGAACAATGGTGCCAAAACCGCCTTACAGCTATTTCAAGATACATTGTATTTTATGAACACTTGTATCCATTGCATTTTAAGAACACCTCCAAATATTGATACTTTCTATCCTCAAGAGTTTTAGGGGGCTTGGTTTAATTAAAAAAAAAAAAAAAAACACAAAACAACAAATCCAAACCAAAACAAACCAAACCAACCAAACAAACAAAAAAAGAAACAACAAAAAGCCCAAACCTACTCTTAAGAAATAACATGTAAGAGTTACTATTTATCAACTATTTAGCTAAAAGGACAGTATAGTTCCCAATAACTCATCACATTGTGTCAATATAGATGCACAACTCCACTAGTATACTATGTAGCACAACCACCCTCACCCATGTACCCCAGAAATGTAAAGCAGAGCTTCCCTGAGTCTCTCCATGAGGCTCCTCCAGGCGGTTTGCTGTTGCAAAAGGGGTTTTATTGTACCCTTTCACCTCCTTGAGATATCTTCCCATAACTGTTTTTTTTTTTTTTTTTTTTTTTTTGTTTTTTTTTTTTTTTTTTAATCCACCAATCCTATTGATGCCTTTACTTAACATTCTGATTTGGGGTTTGTGGTTGCTAATTGCTTTTCCTTTGCAAATTATCCAACTGGAGCCTGACACACCCATGCTGATGGCTCTATCACTTAATTGTAGAAGACTAGTTTAAGTGTAGGAATCAAATAGAAAGCTGACTGGTGCTGTTTACTTGAAGCTGACTAATCAGAAAAGCCAAGAGGGTCTCATATGAAGAGAAAAAAATCAGAGGGGCTAAATGCTGTAGTCACAATTCCAAACCAGACAGTTGCTTGAATTATAAAATAGATTCTATCAGTAGATTTACACAATTTCATAAAGGAAGGCTGAAGAGTTTTGAACAAGGCTGTCTGGTGAGGAGAGAAATGGATAAGGAGCCAACAGATAACAATAGATAATCAAAGATGAAAAAAAAAAAAAAACAAAAACAAAACCAAAAAACCCCACCAAACCAAACCAACAACAAAATAATAATAAAAAAAAAAAAAAACAAAAAAACAAAAAAACAAATACCCAAAACAAACTCCCACCTTGCTGCCTTATGTTTCTGTGTTTAGAAAAAGTAATCTATATATAATATATGGATAAAAGTCTAGCAATTTCCTTTTTGCACAGATAACTAATACACTTTATAGGTGATGAGAAAGGGGTGGTAAAGGGAAAGAACTAGGTAAATTTCTTGGCCTAAAAAAGTTTAAGCCATTATGATTAATAAATAAGATGCAGATGGGGTTAGGTGTTTGGTACTGAAAAGTCTTATTTTCTTCCCCCCCACCCCACGAAGTTACATAAAATTTTCCTAGTGAAGATCTTTTCTAATGTTATGAGTTCTCAGAATGTGAAGACTAACTGCAAATTATAACAGAAAACACATCAAAACAAAATCCCTGAAAAATATTTCAGGAAATCCTAATTCTCAAATGTATTGAAAACTTATTTATTTTTATTTTAACATTGCTCTATTCAATTGAAAAAATGTTTATTATTGCCAAAATCACTAGAAATTTGCAGGAGCCTGTGCTTGTTAAAAAGATGAAAGGAAAACCCCCAAGCAGCCCAAATAATTTTAAATTATTATTATTTGTGAAATTTTGATTAATCTCAATATAAATTAGTGCAATGTTATTTATGGCAAGAAGTAAAATTTATTAGAGTAAGTCTGCCTTAAGACAGGAAAATCAGTAATATTAGAATACTGTGTATTTTGTTGTGAACTATTAAAAATATGTGTACCATTCCTATTTTAAATGGCATGTTTTTAGAAAGAAGATAATCCAGGCATTGGTATGAGATTATTGTAACAGTCTTTTGTTTTCCTTGGAGTGCTGAGCAATAATGGTTCTTGCTTCTCCAGCAGGAAGCATTCCGAGAACATGGTGTTCTGACTTTTGCTGTTTCCTTATAGTCTGTATTCTTATAAGAATTCTTTAGGCTCTCAGCTTTTCTCACAATACTCAAAAATACAATTGAGAGGTAAAAGTATGTCAGAGACATGGTTCTGTTTGCGTGTGTGTACATATGCTGCGAGGGAAAAAAATAAACATAAAACTGATCACGTTTTCATCCACATGGAGGAAATACTACATTACATTTAAAAATAGAAAAAAAAACCCCTGTCATCATGCGGTTCGAGAGATTCCTTCCCCTCCTTTTTTAAGCAAGATGTAGGAGGACTTGGTGACAGAAAGAAGCTGCTGGTCGAGGAGGATAAGGCTGGCAGAGATAATTTAAATGTACCCGACGAAGGGGTCTATTCAAGCAAATACAAATAAACAAAAAATTCAAAATCAACTCAGGCGGCGCCCAAGGCGGACGCGCGGGCGCGCGGGGCTCAGCGGCGGGGCGGGGCCGTCGAGCCGCGCGCGCGGCCACGGATTGGTCGGATTTTGCCGCAGCCCCGCGGGCAGCGGGGAGCGACGCGCCGGGCCCGGGCCGGGGCCCAGCGCAGCCCCGAACGCGGGCCCGAGGCCGCCGCCCCCGCGCCTGCCAACGGCGGGGCCCAGAGCTGCCTCGGAACAGTCGGGCGGGGTGTGGGATGGAGCAGGGACGGGGCGGGAGAGAAGCAAAACGACGCGCAGGCTGGCAGCGGGCAGGGCGCGGAGCGGGAATTCGGCCCCACTCGCGACGGGCGGCGCGGGCGGACGCGCCCCGGGACTCAGGGCCGGGGAAAGCGCCTCGGCCGCCGCCTCGCGGGAGGCCCGCGCCCGAGCCGCGCGGCCGTGGGGCCGGGGCCGGCGCGCGACGGGGCGGGAACTGCGGCCGAGCCCCGCCCCCCGCCGCAGTCCTCAACCAGGTCGGCTCCCGGGCAATATACCCGGGCTCGGCGGCACAAGCGGTGGGCAGTGCGAGGCTGCGCGGAGTGCTGCCATGTCCGGGCGCGGCAAAGGCGGGAAGGGGCTCGGCAAGGGGGGCGCCAAGCGGCACCGCAAGGTGCTGCGCGACAACATCCAGGGCATCACCAAGCCGGCCATCCGGCGCCTGGCTCGGCGCGGCGGCGTGAAGCGCATCTCGGGGCTGATCTACGAGGAGACGCGCGGCGTGCTGAAGGTGTTCCTGGAGAACGTGATCCGCGACGCCGTGACCTACACGGAGCACGCCAAGAGGAAGACGGTGACGGCCATGGACGTGGTGTACGCGCTCAAGCGCCAGGGACGCACCCTCTACGGCTTCGGCGGTTAGACTCGAGGCGCAAACCTTAACCTTGTCAAAACAACTAAGGCTCTTTTCAGAGCCACCCACAAACCTCACAATGAGAGCTGTTTGTTGCTAGAAATGAATGCTTACATAAAAGGTGGTGGGTCACATGTACTGAGTTTTGTACTCCAGTATGCACATACTTAATTTCATTCGTAAATGAAGCTCATTTTAGTAAAGTGAGGCGGCTCTTAAAAGAGCTGTTAGTGTTGTAATTTACCATTTTTATTTTGAGTTGGTGTACTTAGGTCGAGTAGGTCTCCTTCCTTGTTATTTTTCTTGTCACCCTTCTGTATCTTAGCGACAGCTTTCTTGGAGCCCTTCAGTGCTAGAGCAGATTTTGCCGGCTCAGGCATCCTTGCAATTTTCTTAAGATCTTAACTTTACCTCAACAAAATTGTGAATGACGCCCGCCCCTGTACTTACAAGAGCATTATGCAAATTAGAGGACTGTAATCGTTCCATTCCTATTGGATTAAAAATTATTAACGTAATTATAAGCACTTCCGTCCTGTAGCTGTCACAATTTAGGCTTTACATGTAGACAATCCTTGTGTTTTGGGGTACTGGTGATGGTGGAACTGCATTCACGAGCAAAAATATTGTCTAGATACATAGTGCAACTGACTTCACCCTCACTAATTTAAAATGTCTTATTTTATAGACTGGGAACTTTGCAGGACTCTGGGGTTTTGGGGGACGGCTTAAGATGGGTTATAGGACTCAAAAGTGTTTTAAAGTTACACTTGTATTTAAAAGCTATTGAAATCAAATATGCAGTAACAAACAGCTCTCATTGTGAGGTTTGTGGGTGGCTCTGAAAAGAGCCTTAGTTGTTTTGACAAGGTTAAGGTTTGCGCCTCGAGTCTAACCGCCGAAGCCGTAGAGGGTGCGTCCCTGGCGCTTGAGCGCGTACACCACGTCCATGGCCGTCACCGTCTTCCTCTTGGCGTGCTCCGTGTAGGTCACGGCGTCGCGGATCACGTTCTCCAGGAACACCTTCAGCACGCCGCGCGTCTCCTCGTAGATCAGCCCCGAGATGCGCTTCACGCCGCCGCGCCGAGCCAGGCGCCGGATGGCCGGCTTGGTGATGCCCTGGATGTTGTCGCGCAGCACCTTGCGGTGCCGCTTGGCGCCCCCCTTGCCGAGCCCCTTCCCGCCTTTGCCGCGCCCGGACATGGCAGCACTCCGCGCAGCCTCGCACTGCCCACCGCTTGTGCCGCCGAGCCCGGGTATATTGCCCGGGAGCCGACCTGGTTGAGGACTGCGGCGGGGGGCGGGGCTCGGCCGCAGTTCCCGCCCCGTCGCGCGCCGGCCCCGGCCCCACGGCCGCGCGGCTCGGGCGCGGGCCTCCCGCGAGGCGGCGGCCGAGGCGCTTTCCCCGGCCCTGAGTCCCGGGGCGCGTCCGCCCGCGCCGCCCGTCGCGAGTGGGGCCGAATTCCCGCTCCGCGCCCTGCCCGCTGCCAGCCTGCGCGTCGTTTTGCTTCTCTCCCGCCCCGTCCCTGCTCCATCCCACCCCCCGCCCGACTGTTCCGAGGCAGCTCTGGGCCCCGCCGTTGGCAGGCGCGGGGGCGGCGGCCTCGGGCCCGCGTTCGGGGCTGCGCTGGGCCCCGGACCGGGCCCGGCGCGTCGCTCCCCGCTGCCCGCGGGGCTGCGGCAAAATCCGACCAATCCGGGGCCGCGCGCGCGGCTCGACGGCCCCGCCCCGCCGCTGAGCCCCGCGCGCCCTCCCGGGCTCCCGCTATAGAGGGGAAGGGGAGGGGGGCGCGGTGGACGTTCCCACGGCCGCGCGCTCTTTGTTCGCTTCAGCCACGGCGGCCGCGCGTTTTCTTCGCGTGCGTGGAGGCGGCTGCGCTCCCCACAGCTGCCCGCTCCTCCTCCGCGCCCGGACCGTTCAGCGCTCCAGTGTCCGCACGGAGCCACCGGCGGGTCTGTGGGAGCGGGAGCGCGGCCCGAAGCGTCAGGGGAAACGCTCTGTGAGGGGCCGCGGGGGGAACCGCTGGGCCCTGAGGCTCCCGTGGGGGCAACCGGGAGCGGCTGCCGGGGGCCGCCCTTCCCCCCTCCTCCACTCCCAGCCTCCACGCCCCACGGGCGGCGCCGGGCTCGCTCCCGGCCCCTGAAACAGCGAGCACGTCTCTAGCGTGCAACTGGATCCAACAAGCGAAAGCAAACATGAGCGACGTTGGCAACCAGGTGTCTGCATGACATCTGAAAAATGAACAAGAACCAACTTTTATTTTTTTAAAATTCAGATAAGGAATCTATAAATTTTGCTGTATATTGCATGCTTTTGCTACTAAACTTTGCATACATACTACTTACAGTGGGCTGAACTGTATTTGTAAAGTGGATGAACAAATACTGGAGGAGTTGTGAGTCTATATTTTAAATTAAACGTTATTCTACACTGTCAGAGTAGAAGTGATATAGCTGTGGGACTTGCCAACTGTTATATTATTGTTACTCTTTCATGCACTTAAACATGTCTACCTTTTAAAAAAATGTTTATATCCTTTTAATTCTCTACAAATTTTTATGTAATTTCATTCCTGAACTTAATTTACAGAATTTAGGCAGTATCTCCAGAATATTTCTTGGCAGAATATATTGCCTAAATTCAGGGGAAAGTACAATTGTGCTATTCCTGTATTGAGTTACAGGTGTCCAGACAAGTACAAGTGTTTGGTATGGTTAATAACTATCACTGTGAATTTAATTGTTGTTTAAATTCTTATTTTAAACAAATTAAGGAATTGTCACTCAAATATATACAACATGAGCAGGTAAAACTAGCTTTACTTTTTATTGTGTTCACTTTTTAACTCAACAGAATGATCTAAAACTCTTTATAGACAAACTGTAAGGTTTGTTACTAGTGGAGCTGCCAGGCTGGTGCCTAAAATGACCATTTGGCTCCACGGAGTCCGCTTTGTTCTTTATAGCTGAAGATCAGTGTCTAGATTAGTTTCCTGAGGCAGTTATAAACAATTTTTTGATTACTAAAGAAAAACTAGAGGAATTACATAAAATCTTTTAGTGTGTCAAAACCATATTTTCTTCATAACTCTTCCTAAATGCAGCATAAGTACCCTGGTATAACTTTTCCCTCTAGCAGTATAACCACTGGAAGATTTGAAAAATCATCTTCCAAAATGACCTGTCAGAAATGGGTGCTGCAGAGGCTGAGACCAGTAGTTTATAGGTTAATTAACTGCCAATCCCTTTCTCCAATGCGTGAAGTACATTTGATATAATTTAATATCATGCTTTCTAGAAGCTTTGCCTGTAAGTTGCTGCAAGTGGCCACAGACACATTTCCCAAGTGTTTATGTCAGTGACATAGTTCTGTCATGGATCAGAGGGTTTTCTGAAATAAAAATAATTAAAGTAGAAAGAAAAGTTTGCTGCTGCGTATAATCCCTAATGAAGTTGCTTTTACTGTTGATAAGAGACAATAGTTATTCTTTGGATCAAAGTTTAGAATCTAATCCCCAGATTATAGGTACTACGTATTCCTCATGAGGTTAGACGCATACTACTAGAAATTAAATGAAAAAGGAAGCATTTGCAAAACTCTGCTCCATTCACAAAAAGAATCTATAGCTCTTCAAGTGTAAATATATTTATTAGGACAGTCTCCCTAGTTCCTCACTAGAACTACAATGAGAAAATTACATTTGTTTGGTGCAGTAAGGCAACATCTCACTATGACTGCGCAAGGAAGTATATAATTTAATAAAAGTACCATCACATCAGTGCTTTATATCCAACTGCATAGCTGCCCTTAATTTTCTTGGGAGGTTATATGTAATTTAAAATCCATTTCTGTATCTGCTACAACCACAATAATATACAAATTGCTGTAAGGTCTTTTTAGTAGAATGCATTATTCCTAACATTGCAAACAAAGGTGAAAAGAGGTAGAAAACCCTTTTGCCTTACTTTTTAGCTAAGGAGTTATATGACTTTTGATATATAGACTGATATTACCGAGTTCTCCCTAAATATAACTATGATGTGTAACATTCAAGGGAGCTCAGTTAGAGGTTTTTTTTTTGCATCACGAGTTCTTTAGAATGTGAAGGAATATTGGAACCCACTGATACACCTAAGGCACCATATGGTAAGGATTTCCTCTTTCACTACTGTTTGCTGTATATGGAAATGAGAGAAAGTTCACTTACATAAAATTGCTTTGCTACATTTCTTCATCCAGTGGGATTTGCTTGAAAGTCAAGTTTTTAGTACCAGTAGATTTGCCATCACTCTTACCACAATCTGTCTGAATTACAGGACATTTACATCTGAAGCCTCATCAATGTGATGACAACATGGGGTTTGCAACTGGTACAACCACTAGTGGCTAAGAACAAAAATAGGGATTGCTAAGAACTAGACCTATGTATCACAGAGTAAAATTCTAGTCACTAAGGTGAGCAGAGCAGTGAGTGAAATAAGAGGTGTTTGGAATGAAATTCTGAAGAAAATATTGAATTTCTGGTTAGATGACAAGAAGAATTTGGAGAGATATACTGAACTTAACTCCACATTCAGAGAAGGGGAAGGTGGTAACAATTCTGATTTCCACATTTAGGAGTTTGTTCAGAGAGAAATCCCACTCCTGGATACAGATACCCCCACGGGCTTTCTCTGGAATTCCAGTGCTTTTATCTAGACATGCACATGGCTCAAAGCCAATCATATCCTGGGACGCATAAAAAGCAGCATGGCTAGCAGGTTGAGGGCAGTGAATCTCCCCTTCTACTCTGCTCTTGTGAGACCCCACCTACAGTCCTGCATCTAGTTCTAGGGTCCCCAGCAAAAGGAAAACACGGACCTGTTGGAGCAGGTCCGGAGAAGGGACACAAAAATGATCAGAAGGATTAAACACCTCTCCTATAAGAAAAGGCTGAGACAGCCTGGACAAAGGCAGGCTCTGGGGATACCGAATTGCAAACTTTCAGTTTAGAAAGATGGAGAAAGACATTTTACCAAGGCACGTTAAAAGGCAGGTGACAGGACAAGGGGCAACAGCTTTAAACTGAAAGAGGGTAGATTTAGATTGGATACAAGAAGGAAACTTTTTGCAGTGAGGGTGGTAGGACACTGGACCAGATTGCCCAGCAAAGTTATGAATGTCCCATCCTTAGAAGTGTTCAAAGTCAGGTTGGATGGGACTTTGAGCAACCTGATCTAACAGAAGATGTTCCTGCCCATGGCAGGAGGGTTGGACAAGGTGATCGTTGATGATCTCTTCCAACCCAAACCTTCCTATGATTGCTATCTTCTGACATACACACATGCAGGTACCTATTCTGAAAACTAAATATAGAAGACTTGACATGTCAAGACCCAGTTTTTATATCATCAGATCTCTTCAAGAAAAATACAAGTGCCAGAAGATATGCAGCTGCAGGTAATGATCAATAAAACAGAATAATGAGAATCAATAAAACAGCGTTACAGCTCTAAATGTATCCACTTGCAAACAAAACTTCATGCACAGATACTGTCACCGTATCAGAATAGCCTAGTGCTCTAGACAGCTCTCTTCCTTTATGTTTCTTTCCACAAACGATCCCAAATGTCCCACTTTAGCCATTATACCACCCTATCTAAAAAGCTTTTCTACTACAGCTTGGGGGTGGGGAGAAGAGGCACAGGAGATTGTATCTTGCTATAGGTGCTATTTGCTTTCCTCTGAGCCTAGATAATTCCTCCTTCTCCCCAGGGGATGGGGAGGGCAGAGGTGCTGTGCAGGTGGGAGCTGTGATCTCAGCGCAGGGTGCTGCAGAACATTAGGGCTCAGCTTCTGGGAACAACCTATCAAAAGGAATCAGCTAGACAGTGTTTCTCGTGATTTATAACAGTGAATCTACAGAGCTTTAACATTATGATCTTGGTTGATACTTGTGTCAACAATATAGGATATTAATTTAAATAATATTGCCTACAACAACAAAAGGAATACCTATACACAGTAAGGGATTTTAAGAGTGATGGGTCTGAAAATCTCACTTAAAACAAGAATATACTAGCTCTGCAAGAAGGTTCTTCTGAATGGAAAGATGCTACATCGTTGCTTTACAGTACAGGTCTGACTAGTTAAGGATCTAGATCAAAATGAGACATTTCCCCTAAGGCGTTTCTCATATAATTTATGAAGAAATCATAGAATCATTTAGGTTAGAATAGACCTTTAAAATAATTGAGTGCAACTTCCAATAAAGTCACAGGGAAACTTTACATCTTTAAAAGAACAAAGGCCAACAAAGGAAGCCTTTCTTCATTCTTAGATCTTGTTATATGGGTTTTGGATGATGTTCCTTTTATTTTCATGCTGCACAGCTTTCTCCACACCTGACTCAATCTTTTAGGCACCCCTTACCCCACCTCCCCCATATTTCATGCCATAAGTAGCCTGTAAAGTCATGAAAGTTAAGTAGATTGAACATGAGAAACAAATGTTTCACTAATGCGGTTACAAAAGAATCAATAAATTACTACAAATATAATTAGTCTTCCTACATCAAGAAGAATGAGGACCTAAAAAGTAAAGGCAAGTCCCTTTTCAGGTAAGGACGAGCAAGATTTCCAGCATTGCCACAAACATGGCTTTACCTCTACTAGCAAAAGCAGCACACCAGAAACATTTAGTACCAAAACACTTTTGTAAATAAAGCAACACAACTCTTTTCTGGCTATGTGGGTGGCTCTGAAAAGAGCCTTTGGGTTACAATGTTGCGTTGTGAAAAATCCGAGCAGCTTTGCTCACTGAGCTTATTTGCTCTTGGCTTTGTGGCTCTCCGTCTTCTTGGGCAGCAGCACGGCCTGGATGTTGGGCAGCACCCCGCCCTGCGCGATGGTCACCTTGCCCAGCAGCTTGTTGAGCTCCTCGTCGTTGCGGATGGCCAGCTGCAGGTGCCGGGGGATGATGCGCGTCTTCTTGTTGTCGCGGGCCGCGTTGCCCGCCAGCTCCAGGATCTCGGCCGTCAGGTACTCCAGCACGGCCGCCAGGTACACCGGCGCGCCGGCGCCCACCCGCTCCGCGTAGTTCCCTTTCCGAAGCAGCCGGTGGACGCGGCCCACGGGGAACTGCAGCCCGGCCCGCGACGAGCGCGACTTCGCCTTAGCTCGGACTTTGCCTCCCTGCTTCCCGCGGCCGGACATAGTTTAAGCGCCTGAAACCACAGAGCCTCCCACAACAACGACAACAAAAAAAAAAAAAAACACACAAAAAAAAAAAATACAACCAAAACAAAATAAGGCCCCTAGACCCCAAAACCGAGGAACTCATACTGACGCAACGGCGCTCCCCATTTTATCCCTTCCCTGGGCGGGATTAGACCTTGGTGATTGGCTGGAAACATTCATTGCGGATACGACCAATGAGAAGACGGATCGTATTGTGACCAATCAGAGAAAGATACACCCCCGTGCGGGAAGGTCCAATCGCATTGCACGAGTTAGATGGCTGCTATTTGCATACCAGCCCTATAAATAGAGGGCGCAGCCGCCATCTTAACAGCTGATCTACTGCATGAGAGGGGAACTGTTATCGTAATGCCTGAGCCGGCCAAGTCCGCCCCCGCGCCCAAGAAGGGCTCCAAGAAGGCGGTGACCAAGACGCAGAAGAAGGGCGACAAGAAGCGCAAGAAGAGCCGCAAGGAGAGCTACTCGATCTACGTGTACAAGGTGCTGAAGCAGGTGCACCCCGACACGGGCATCTCGTCCAAGGCCATGGGCATCATGAACTCCTTCGTCAACGACATCTTCGAGCGCATCGCCGGCGAGGCCTCGCGCCTGGCGCACTACAACAAGCGCTCCACCATCACGTCGCGGGAGATCCAGACGGCCGTGCGGCTCCTGCTGCCCGGCGAGCTGGCCAAGCACGCCGTCTCCGAGGGCACCAAGGCCGTCACCAAGTACACCAGCTCCAAGTAGAGCGTCTCGGACTGTCAGTTTTAACCCAAAGGCTCTTTTAAGAGCCACCCACAAAGTCTCTGAAAGGGCTTTAATGCAATAGTGTCTGTATTGTGTGGTGTGAAAGTCTATTTAAAGGACAGTGTATAGTATTTGTAATGAGCTACTAAATCGGTTATCAGAGGTTGCAAAATGTTCTGTTTGAAATGTTTGAATATTTTGCACGTGCAAGTTCAAATGTATTACCTATTTATTACTTTGTAAACCAATGTTCAAATAATTTTCCAATAAATGTAAACAGTATCGTTAGACTTTTTTTTTTTTTTTCAGTAAAGATGCAAGATGGAGAACATTATACGACGTGTTCCATAGTAACTAAGAAATTCACATATATTCTAATAGCTAATACCCGCCCTCAAAAAAGGGCATGTGGGGAAAGTATACATCCCTGATGACTTTTTCTATTGTGGATAGCTGTACCGGGATAGTTTAAGCTTAAAAATATACGTGGCAGTCAGAAAGCAGCCTTGTAGATCGGAAGGCAAGGGACAAGAAGACCAGGAAAAGCGAGGAAGCCTTTGAGATGGAGCGGACGAGCGGGGAGGACTGGCGCTGCGGGACCGGCGGTGCCGGGAGCTCCGGGCAGCCCCCCGTGTCCCGCGCGGGCTTTTCGAAATTTTCTAATCGCCCAATAAGCGGCCGCGATTTCTCCCATCAGCCAATCACAAGCGGCCCCAGGCTGAGCGCCCGCAGCCGCCCGTGCTGAGGGGCAGCTCCGCGCCGCGCTGCCGAAGCGCCCTGCCCGCCGCCGCCCCGCAGAGCCCCGGCTGCCCCGCCAGCGGGCCGGCACCGTGCGGACGAGAACCGTTTCCCCGCTTGCCCGCCCCGGTAAGCTCCTTCTCAAAAAGCCGGTCGGGGAAGTCACGCAGAAACGAAGACCTGCCCCAGCACAGCGCTGCCAAGCGGAAAGGGTTATTGCCAAGGAAGCGGAGGAGCCGTCTTGACACTTCCCGGCTACGGACACTAAGGGGTGTGGCGGTCGCAGCCAGGCGGTTAGGAACCGCGCTGGTTAAAGTACCGAGAGAAACCTCGGCGCCCCAGAGCGATACCCGCCCTACGCAGTCCCTTTAACAACACCCCCCCCCCCCCGCCTCACGGTGCTCAAAAAAAAAAAAAAAAAAAAAAAGCCTTTAGAAATCGTTTTCGCAGGGAATGTAAACTTTATTGTTCCAAGTCTTAGCGTAACCACGGCCGGAAGTTTAGCGTCCCATCCACTCCACAGACGAACGTCCCACACGGGTAGTGGCGTGTGGTTTGCTCTGCTGCAGGCACGGAGCTCGGCGACGGAGTGTATCAGCCCTTTTTCGGACAGTAGTGGGTGGCTCTTAAAAGAGCCGTTGGGTTTAAGTATTTCCACTTCAATACTTCACTTCTTGGCTGCCGCCTTCTTTGCCTTGGCCGCTTTCGGCTTGGCCGTCTTGGGCTTGGCTGCTTTGGGCTTCACTGCTTTCGCCTTGGCCGGGCTCTTTGCTGCCGCCGCTGCTTTTTTGGGCTTCGCAGCCTTAGGCGCCTTCTTGGGGCTCTTGGCCGCCTTCTTGGCCGCGGCAGCCGCCGGCTTCTTGGCTTTCTTGGGGCTCTTCTTCACCGCCGCCGCCTTCTTGGGCTTCTTGGCGGCGCTGGCGGGCTTCTTGGCCGCCGGCTTCTTGGGCTTGGCCGCAGCCGCCCGCTTCTTGGGGGCTTTTTCCTTCACTTCCCCGGGCTTCTTGCTGAGGCGGAAAGAGCCGGAGGCGCCGGTGCCCTTGGTCTGCACCAGGGTGCCCTTGCTGACGAGGCTCTTGAGCCCCAGCTTGATGCGGCTGTTGTTCTTCTCCACGTCGTAGCCGCCGGCGGCCAGCGCCTTCTTGAGGGCGGCGAGGGAGAGCCCCTTGCGCTCCTTGGAGGCGGACACGGCCTTGGTGATCAGCTCGGTGACGCTGGGCCCCGCGGGCTTGCGGGCTCGGGAGCCGCCCGCCGCCTTCTTCGGCTTCTTGGCGGCCCCGGCCTTGGCGGCGGGGGCCGCGACAGAGGGAGCGGCGGCGGGAGCGGTCTCCGACATCGCTGCAGAGACTTCTTCCTAATCAAAAGAAAGTAATTGGGCTACAGTAACCCCGATGCCTGAATTTATAGCGAAGCGGTGATCTGTGATTGGTGCTTTGCAGAGCCCGCCTAACTGTTAGCCAGGAAGAGCTTTTCGCCCTCCGAGTCTGTGTTTCTTCGGAGTTATAAATTCATCTTTTTTGTAAAATGCCTGCCACGGAATCACCCCGGTTTCCTCGGGGAGTGAAGAGAAGACGGTGGACTTTCATTCGGGGGAGTTTCTTGCTCTTGGGACCCCAGACGAGAGAGAAAATATCTGTTTAACCCCGCGTTGTGAAGCCAGAGAGACCCCGGGAACGGCAAACTTTTGTTTTTCCTTCTAAATTAAAACAAAACCCGTAGATAAACAGCCTCCTCCGTAATGCAGGCTTATTCTTTAGGGGGTTTTCCCCAGATTAGGATAGAAACCGAGGGGAAAGCCTCAGTATTTTTGACGTAAATTTGTTTCAAAGAGAAGGAAGTAACACAATTTCATGGCTGAGCTTTGAATATGGATAAAGATTCGGCTTCCTTAACCATATCTTTAACTATTAAGGATACAGTATTTCTACAGAATTTCGTGTTTTGGGAAAATACTAGACCTTCAGAGGAATATATATACTGTTGAAAAGTGTCCAGAACTTGCCAGCGCTCTGCATTTCTTTTTTGTGTTCTGTAAGTGAATAACAAGATTTTGATATTTTTACAAATAGTTTCTGTGTATAAAATGAAACTGTCAGTGCCTAGTTAATGCATATAAATTCCGGATAAACTGATAGTTCAATCCTTTCTCAGTTACAGTAGTTTATACTATTATCCTTTAAGACTTACAGAAGTCAGACACAGACTCATAGGAGAAAATTCTCAAACAGGTAGTTTGGCATAGATATTAGTGTATTGGATGCTACTTAAACATTAGTGGAGCCAGCTGAAGACTCAGTTCTTCCCAAATAAATTAAATAAAGTGGAAATCTGGCCTGCATGAATGGAGTGCTTCAGCCTCAATATTACCTATAAATATTTGCACACAGATTGTTGTTGTGGTTGTTTTTTGGTTGGTTTTATGTTTGTGGGTTGTTTTTTTGGTTTTTTTTTTTTTTTTTTTTTTCATAGATTTCATAAAACCTGCCATTCTCTTCTCTACAGGAAAGCACTCACCAATTTAGGTTTTCATACATATCCTCATAATGTTGAATTAATTTTCAGACAATCCTCATAAATCAGAATCAGCTTTAATTATTATGTTTCCATTTCATTATTAAGTCTCACAAAGTGACAACAGAAATTAATTTCATTTTTTAAGGACTGCTACAAGTTGTTTGGGATAATTTCTTATTAAATCAGAAGACAAAAGCTTCAACTGGCTTCTAATTAAAAAGCAGCCAGATTTTTTTTTCTTTGGTTGAAAAGAACAGATTAAGCCCAAATCAAATAATTTGCCCTATTGTACTTTATACAGATTTGTAATGAAAAACATCAGTGGGCTATTTCAGTAAAGGAGCATCCCTTCTAGCATGTCTGAATTTGAGATTCTAGAAGACAAGTAGTATACTTCAAAAGGCCTTGGCGTTTATTTTCATACATTAAATGCTGAAGACACAGTTAAGTTATACTTAGTTGTTTTAGTTGAAATGAGTTAAAATGGGAAGGATAAATGAACTACATTAGAATAACAAAAGTAAAAACAATGAACTATCACTTTTTCATATTCTCTTTTAGTCCTATTTTTAATTTGTTATGTGTGCATTTTGTTAGGTGACCAGCTAATAAATACTTTGAAGGAGAGGACATGAAGGGAAACGTGGAGAAAGGGAAAAATTTAACTTTTCAGTACCCCACAGTAAAAAGCAGACTGAAAGACATTCTGAAGTGGGCAGTGAAATCTGCCATGCTTCTCATGAATGTGGCATCCTTCCCACAGAAGTAACTAAACCAAATCCGCAGTAACCGTAGAGTTTGAAAGCTCAAGCTGGTAAACCTAACTAACAGTATGAATATTTTTCTGAGAAGTAAAAAGGCAGTTACTGGTAGTAAGATGAGGGCACTATGCTTATTTTTCCAGTCTAGGTGAACAAAGACGGCCATAAAGCAAAATCTGACTGTAAGTGATACAAAAGACAGAGCCCAGAAGGGTTGTCATCTCTCAGAGTGTTTTATAAGAATAATGAGCATTTTTTGGGCAATAAGAAATGAAATAAGTTTAATGTGCCCTAATTTCTGTAGTGTTGATGATTTAGTGTTAGATAAAGTTAAGATAAAACTCTGGTTTATTACACTTAAAACTGCTCAGGAAGCTGGGAGTAACTAGGAGTGGACAGTAACCGCTGGTGCAAGAGTGCAGCAGTAACCCCAGGGGTGAGTTCTCTTCCCCGGCTTCATCCCTCACGTCCACATGTTTGGGCACGTTTCTCTTCAGGCTTGCTCTTTGTAAACCTGTTCTCAGTCCACCGGGAGAGAAATTTCCTTCTGTTCCCCCCAAAACAGGCTTCAAGTTAGAGATACAGTCAGGAGGTAGAAAAGAGATGGGAGAGGAGCTCTCAGATCTTGCCCCCCAAGCAGCAGCGGTCACTTGAGCTCCACCCACAGCACGCTGGGATTGCTGTCCCTACTCTGTGAGAAGTTTTAAAAGGACAAGATTGTCTCTATTTTTGTAAGGAAAGCAGATGAAGAAGGTCCTGAGCTGAGGATTTCAAGGAGCAGAATTTAGGACTTTCCCACTTTTAATTTGGGATGGGTCTGTGTAAAGCTGCGTGTCTTTTAAACAGTTCCCCACTCCAGGTACTTACTATTTTAAGTGACATTCTGAAGTTATTTGTCTTTCCCTGGTAGACTGAGACACTGGAGGACCTGGCAGCTGGCCTCTGGCGTTATGTGTCAACATCCTTTCCATACCTATTCCTCAGCCATTACACCATCTCTGTTTTGCACAGAGAATTATTCCTGGCCTACTTCTGAGCAGTGAAAAATATCTTGGGTTTACCAACCACTTTTGCAAAATGCAATTTTTTTTTTTTTTTTAAAAAAAGGGAGGGGATTTAGGGATATGAGGTGGTGTGAAAAGGGGAGGCTTTTGCAGTGTTAGTTCCCCTCCTGGCCCCAACAATGACTTTTTCTAGTTAATTAGACAAAATAAATTTGTCAAAAGCTTTGAACAATTTTCAGGTTTTCATTGATGGAAATAGATATCAAGTACAGCACTTGACCAAAATAACAATTCTCAGTTTTTGAAGAGACAATCTACTTTATAAATAGCATTAACATTGCCCTAGGTGGTTTACAGATAAGAGAAAAAGACAAAGCAAAGCAAACATCCCACCACATAATTTAGCAGATCAGTGATAGAGTATGGATCAGTTTTTCAAACTGATAGAGAAATTTTCTTACTTCTAAGCAACATTACTTGAAAAAAGTTTTGAGAGTGAGTTGGCTATAAAAATTGTTTGCAGTTTCC